GAAGAATGGAATTGTCTGCACAGGTAACGAAAAGAGAGATTTATGTGGCCACATGGCTACGCTGCCATGTTATTTATGTGAGATGAGCCTAGGGAAGGGACTACAGCCTCTTACTTCCTTTGGTAAGTCTCTATTTTATATGCTACCTGGAATTTTAGGCTGTGGGTTCCATTCTCTTCCATCACACATTTTCTGCATGCTTTAAACTAACTGAAATCAGTTTTACATTCTGTGGGGCGGCTGAAATTTGGCAAGAACACTGCAGAATTTCCTTTAGTCTCATTGGGTCTCAGTGATTTAATGAGCTGCACATCTGTCCCTTGGGAGTGGTCTATACCCTAGTTCAACATCTGTAAAATGGGGCTAATAGTTCTGCCATAGTGCAGAGGAATATTGTGAGAATGAATTCTTTAAAGACTGTGATGGTGCTATGTATACAAATCCCAAAGAGAAGGTGGAGTCACAAATGTGTATTGGAGAATGCTTCAAGGCTAGAGAAATATTTTGATGTTAAATTGAGACAGGAATTTTGCCCTACTCTCCTGAATGTGGCGAGGAATATTTGAATGATCCCTTGAATGCTCATCATAGAGTTACAAGCAGGTCATGGTAACCTTACAGAGTTTGCATGCAATTTCCATTCATGGAGCATTAAGTAAGTCCTTGTCTTTTTAATAGAAAGTCAATTCATCATCATGTGTATTTTGATGCCTTTCCTGTTTGCAGTGTTCAAAGGGGTTATCTGTCATTGATACATGTTCACTACTGACTTAACATGAAAATATTCTTCTCATTAGATCCGATTTTAAAGTTATTTAAATCTTGTAATTTCAGTATCTTTAAAGATTTTTATTGATATATTATTGCTTTTGTATTGATAAGATTTCTTCATTGGCCTGATGTGATATGCCATTTTAGGTAGTCTAGGATTTTCTAGGTTGGTATTATGACAATTGAAATAACTGTCATGAAGAAACATTTTAAAGTAAACAAAATCTGTCATATTTGCATATAAAAAGTAAATACATGAATGTAATGAATAAAGAAAATCTACTTAAGGACAAATCTACATGTGGTTATGTAGCATACATACTGGGGGTGAAGTTAAGCCACAGGTATGCTACAGTTTCACAGGGGTTATCTAACTGTGCGCAGACCTTCTGAGTAGTATGAGGCAGACATGTAATGACTGACAAGGGTGGCTTTGGTACAAAGGATGAAGGAAGCATTGGTTCTTTGGGACAGAGTTTTGTGGTTTTGCAATCTCCACAGCTATAAAACCTTGACCCCTGAGTACATTTCCTGGACATATATTTCATATTCCATATAGTAAATAATTCCGTATTCCATATAGTAAATAATCTTCTTAGAATGATTTGGGACCTATCTTGAGAGATCTTGGTAAATGTAATTTAGAAGTGGCTTTGGCAGATGCAGTGCAGGAAATCAAAGTACAAGACTCCACTAAGTGACTTGTTAATTGCTGGCTACCCATTCTGCCAGTAAGTCTGGAATTTGACTTCAAGTTCTGAAAAACAAAGTGAGGGGTAACCAGACTCTGTCTCCATATGAGATAAAGGTGGAATTCAATCTAGGACTAAAACACCTATGCTTTCATCTCTTTATATAACTGTCTGTCTGATTTGGTTATCTAATCTCCCGTCATGCTCAGAAGAGATGTAGGATTCAATCCAGGTGCCTGAAAATAGACATCTAATGTCATTTCAGGTGACTGACATGCACATAGAAGCTGCCAGCTATGATATAGGGCATACATAGGGTAGACCTGCACTCTTCAGGATCACAGCTGGAGGTCAGGAGGGATGCCTCCAGTAATGATAGATACCTGCGTTAAGGCAAGTAAACTAAGACCAAGGTGACTGGGGTGAGGTGAATTGTTCACTGGACTCTTGATTGCATTGACTAGATCTCAGTTGACTGTAATGGGAGCTTAGATACCTAGTGTAGATATAAATAGCTTTGAAGTAAATTTAGTTACTTAAATCTGGAATGGAATTTAATCCTAACTATAGAAAAAAACAAATTTTCTTCTACAGTTTTTGTGCAAGCTGTACTTCAGAGAGACAGAGGCTCGCAGTCAACACTAACTTACTGCATATCTCTTAGCATATATTAATGAAAAATTATCATACTTTAACAACAAAACATTTTACAGGACCTAGCAAAACTGCAAAAGGATTCTCTACTTAACTCAGATGCTAGATTCTGAGTAATTATGTAGAAAATTATTTGCACGTGTTGACAGATGGACCTTGTTAACTCCAAAAAATATAGCAGAAGTGTTATGCTGTAGAGCACTAGAGGCTGTGTGAGGTTCTGTACAGAATCCTTAGATTGGAAAGACATATTAAAACGAGAGATATTTGTCTGAATTAATAATAATAACGTCAAAGCCCAAAATAATATAGGAGGTATACAGGATAGCAGATGGTTGCATGTTAGCATGACCAAACAGAAAATGTCTTTCCAACTTCCATAATCATATTTGAAAATCACTCTAGACTTACTTTATATCACTTAGCCATGTTTCCAGAGCAAATCATAGCTATTTATTGACAAACACATTTTCAGAATCTGAGAGCATTTACAGAATAATCTGATCTTTAAAAATGCTTCAGAACATTTTGGGAGTTTTGTTTATTTGTTTGTTTCCTCTCTCTGCCCCCCACCAAAACCTTGTCTTTTTTTTTTTTTTTTGTGTGTGTATGAAACTTTTAAAATATGACACAGTAGCTTGTAATACTACACCGAGGTGTAGTGAAACAGCCAATCACCTGTAAATTAGTAAATGGCTGTACGATACATCAGGTATTCTGGAGCTATTCTGGCTCCAAGAAAGGGGCACACAGTTGAAGCAATGTCTGGAGACCTGACCTGACAAAGGCCAGGGCAGTTTTTGAAATTGCTTACTGTGCTGGACCATCCCAGGTGCCTTTTAGGTAGGAACTGTCTCAGTTTAGGAATAATCAGAGATCCTGCACATCCTCACCTTTTCAGCTCAGAAGCTGAATTCCTGCATAACCAAAAAGACACCATTTCTTGGGAAAGGGCCAGAAATGTGTTTCTAAATGACCAGAGATCTTTCTCAGTTTTAGAAATAATTAGGTCATCGATGAATTTGTTGTCTAGTAAAAGTGTGCAGTTTAGCTTTAATTAGTACACATGAATATTTTTGGTCTGATCAGAGACTTATTTTGGCTCAGGTCCCAAACAATGACTTTTAACCAGACTGTTTGATGTTGGAGTCTGTCCCTGTTCATTGAACTCTCCCATGAAATTACTAGCCCTAGGAATCAGTCTTTCAAAGCAGAATCTGGTTTTAATTATCAAGGAAAGTAAATCCCCTCAATAGACCATAGATGAGTTCCAGCTGAATGCCCAAATTTACCCTTTGCAATTTTTTCTCAGTTTTAACAGGATATAGTAAATTCACATGGTTCTCAACACAACTTTAATAAACAATCAACATTACGCAAACCTAAGTCTGCTCAAGTTTTTTCTGACATTCTGATAAAATGCAGGACATTTTAGTGACAGCAGTCTAGTGCTATCTTCATAGCACAAACATTGGCAGGGCTCATAACCTAAAAATGAAATAGACCATGAACAAAATTGAAATTAGTCCAGTGGGATAAATTGTATTTTAACAGGTAGTTCTAAGTAAGGGATGGTGAATAGCTTCATGATCTGATATTATTGGTCCTAGGGCAATAATTTTGTCTTGATGCTAAGAAGTGGCAAATCTTGACCTTTACAAATATTCTGATCTGTTAAGCCTGACATGCTAAAACAAGAAGAGTTAAAGCATCCTGTTTTCTCTTTCTCTATTTACTTTTCACAGCTATAGTTATCTAAGACAGCAGCTCCTGAGATATTTTTCACTGTCATGAAATAAACTATACACCTAGATGCAGGGCCTCCTCTATTTTGGAGTAGACATTTAATGTCTTAAGTTATTGGTCTTGAAGCAGCAAGGAACATTGTGGGTTTTAGGATATTTTGACTATGGAGCCAAATGAGTGCTGCAACAGACTAGCATGACATTGCAAACCATCAGTGGTCTGTGGCTTATAGTCCATGACAGTGAGCACTAAGGTTATGTCTGTATTAATTAGGAGTGCAGTGCGATGGGAACAGACCTGTGTCTGAAAAAGTTGTTGCTGACCTGATGATCACGCTATATAGATTTAATTGGTTTTAATCTGAGCTAGCTTTACTGTGGTGCTATGGTCGAAAGGCCATAAGAAGTTGGAGCACATTTTGTACATCCTGTAATGTACCTTATGGTGTAGATCTACCCAAAAGGAATGAGTTTCTTATGCTCTGAAGCTGCTCTGCAATCGAAAGCACAGCCATTAAGTGGGGTAAATTAAGAGGTTCACTTCAAAAGTAAATGTCTTATACCAACTACTATCAAGCGTTTCCTTAATCCATGGAAGCTCTTGAAGAAAGTTTGATTTTCATGTATATTTTTTAAGCTGACACTTTTCCCCTAAGCTTTTAGATATTTCAGTCTTTGAATATTTAAGGCAGCCCTTCATAAACTGAATAAACAGCAGAGGGTTGCTTTCCAGAGATGACTGCTTGGTATTATTTTGTAAATTTCATTATACAGGCATCAGCGGTCTAATTGTTTTGCAGGATATATCCAGCAATGCAGCTGGTGAAGAGCTCCCTTTCTTATCAAAAGATGATTGCAATTATTATATGCAAGGCTGTAAAACCCTATTTTATTTTGAATTAAATAGATTGGAATGAAGACATGCATTTTTTTTCTAATAACGATTAACCCAAATTTTGGAAGGAAATTATCTTTCCACCACAGCTTGTCATATGAAATGATTTTTACTGGTATAACCTTTGAGCCAAATAAAAACAGTAAAAAGAAAGAAACTCTGAGTAAATTTATTAAATGTCACATAATGAAAACTATACAAAAAGTATGTATTTTTCACTCCAAACTTCTATTTTTCTTGTAGCCCAAGCAGCGCACATCAATAGTATCTTCTCTGGAATTTCACCGAATGAATCACAGCCACAATTATTTTGAAATCAACACATCCATTGGCTGTACAAGTTTTATTTCTACTCCTGCAATCAGTCCAGCTAATTATTCCTTTGGATCTCTGGAATACAGTGTTGAAGAGAGAGAACTTCCAGGTATAGAAAAAAAAAGAAGCTTACTTTACCTATCAACAACGCCTTATGAAACTATAGGTCTGTGGGAATTGCTGTTGTCTTTGGTAGTGAACTACATTTATCATAAATACACAAAATTACTCCTGAGTTTGTGGTTTGGGTTGTTTTGGGTTTTGTGTTTGGGTTTTTTTTGGTTGAGGCTTTGGTTTTTTTTTTTTGTTGTTTGTTTGATTTGGTTTGGTTTTTTCCTGCTGCTCAGCAAAGGGTTCTCATATTTCACGACTAATATAATTAAAATATACTTGTTCCTGAATCTTATATTTTGAACAAAACAAACTTTGATTTAGCGAAATGCCTAGAGTTGGTATTGTAGTATAGGTATTGTAGTTTTTGAAATTTTGATGAGTCAGGTACATATCTACTTTCACCATTTTATGATCAGCATACTCTTAATACGAATTTTAAGTTGGAAAAATGTGATTAGAAATCATTATGTAACTATCAGTAAAGATTCCCTTCAGGAAGAGAAGATTTCTAAGTAACCTGACATTGTTTCTGCAACAGTAATGGGATTCATTAAAGTAAAGCTTTAATATATTTGCTCTGATAATAAGAACTGAACAGTGTTATTGTAACTGTGAAGGTTTTATCTGTATATAGAGGTTTACAAAATGAAAATGCTTTAAAAAGAATTTAAATACTTTCTTTTCAACAGATCAAAACTTCAGGAGCAAGAAAGTGTCAGTAAACCGAGCATTTAGTGATTTTTGTCCCTTCAAATTTCATATGCAAGTTGCTTTATTTAGGCTAAACTTGTAGCAGAAGGGTATAGTACTTGGGAAAGCTGATGTATTGAAACAAATATTTTTGATAGCTAGTTTATGTGATCTGCAGATGGAGTTATTTCTTTTAAAGGGATACTTTATATAAGATATAAATAGAAGTAGATTGCTATAAAATAAAAAATAGTACAAAGGTTGAAATTCAGTATAAACTTGCCAATTGGCTTCTGTAGCATTGGTTTTGAAATGAGAGAATCCTCTACATTTCTCTTTGGTAGGGTTTGAAAATTCTGAAAACTGTTGCTTTTAAATGATCAAAAAATAATAAATTTCATAGATCACAGGAAAAGTATATTGTTCAAGAACTCTCATGAAATAGGTTACGAGTGAGAAATCCACTGTCTTATGGTGATGTGAAAGAGTTAAAATGATCAGAATTTATTCACATTGTTTTTTCTTGGGCTACCTGTGTCATTGTGTTTGAAACTAAAAGAATGTGCTTACATTCAGGGATATAGCAAATATATATTTCCTTTTCAAGCCTAGCTGGAAATAATTAAATTGAATGGTCTCTTTTATTTATAGGTCTGGGGTCATTTAATTCTTTAGAATGTTGGGTGGGTTTTGTTGTTATTTTTTTCCATTGTAAAGTAATCATGATTTTATTCTATGTAGTTGAATAATACTAAGCATGTCTTGATGTTTAAATCAAAACTAAGAAAACAGAAAGAACGTTCATTGGAGTTAGGTAATTAACTTTCTAGATTTCTGTAGTTGCACAGTTCTGCTTAAGTTCTTGATGTCTGAATTTGCTTTACTTTTATCTTCTTTGGTTAAATTTACGATGGACTGCACTCAGTAACTTTGAATCACTGCACTTCATTTTGTCTAGACTATAATCTCCTGATTATTAGAACTGTACATTTCTACTTTGTGGATTGATCTATGGATTGTGTGGAAAATTAATTTCCTCTGGTCTCTGCCTAGAAAGCTATGAAAAAATACCAATGGAAAAATGACTTCTTCTGAAGTTCTAGGCATCTTCTACAAGTTTTTCAAGAGTACAGGTTGCCACAAGTAAATCATTAAAGTACCATCAGTAAATGAAATAATTATAGTAAAAGTGTAATTCCCCTCTCCCCCCTCCCCCGTGGTTTCTATCCTAGAATTATTTAAATAATACATAGGATCATAGATTAGATCACAATCTTAGTCTGAATAAAAAAAAAAAAATATTTTGCTCTTTAAGGTCCTTTTGACTCCTTAATGATCGATGACACACTGTAATTCTGCAAGAGACAAGGAGTACTAATGTGTAAAGAGAATAGCAAAATCCAGAAAGAACAGATTGAAATTGTCTTCTTGTAAAAGTCTGAGGCTTGTTGCTTACCTAAACTGTTAAAAACTGAATCTTGAATAATAATGGTCAGTAAGGAGCAGAAGCAATGTTCTGATACAGCCTTTTTTTCTGCTTTATCTAGCTGTTGTTTCACTGAAAGGTTCCTTGTTCCTTTTCCAGATTTACAATGACAGCAATTACAATTCATCATTTGTCTTGACTATAATCCTCTGAATTGCCAACTTGTTCTGAAAATTCATGGAAAATCTGCACGTTAAAAGAAAGTTTAGCTCAATAATAATTGAGGATTTGTGCACATTTCAGCATTTCCTTCTGTATTATCTTCTTGGGGATTTATGTGCCTTGTGTTTTTTTTTTATTTTTAAACTATCATCAACAAAAAGCAACAAATTATTTTATCATGCTTATTGAGGTCAAGGGTCTTCTGGTTGACCAGAAAGATACAATATACTGAAGGAAGCCATTTTCATAGTAATTGCAACTAGTAGTTTTCTGTTGCTTTATTTGAAGCAATCAAAATGCTTTTTCACAGGATTTCTAAATCAGGAACTTCCATCTAAATAAGGCATTAGTATTTCCCTACGCAATTTCAGTGCTTTTTATATTTTCTTCAGGAAACTTGCAGTGATTTATTATCATTCAGATGAGAGTGGGAGATGAATACAACAAAATATTATTTTAATTCTAAAATCTTCATAATTTTACCTCTACCTCAGTAGTCTGCTACCAAAGAAGAATCAATCTCGTGTAAATTTTCGTGGATTAGAGAAAATTTCTTTTTATATCTGGGGACCGCAGTTTCACTCTTGGTGTTTTCTAATTCCCTACATCCCCTGATTTGAAACAGGGATCCTGATTTTCAAGAAGTGTGTTTCTATCAAGTAGAAAACCAATGAATTCTGCCACAGCACTATATTATCTGATTGACAGCACATTACAACATTGTGTGATTAACTAACTGGAGAACAGTCCACATGTAGTGGTAAGTATGTGCTTTGGGATCAGATGGCCTTGTAGTGTAAAAACACCCGTGTATGTTGCTGGCATGGATGGCAGAAGATACCTAAATATCAGGTAGCCTGCAATTAAAATGTAAGGATAAAGATTCTGTTCTTTGTTTTGAATTTTAGTGCATGGAAGAACCTGAAAAAAGTTAATGGAAACTCTTCACTGCTGCAGTATACATAGGGCGGACTGTGAATGCAGCTTTGGTGTGGCCTATTTTCACAGCTTCATTTACAGCAAGAACATTGTCCTCACAGAATTGTTCTTGAATTTTGAGTGAATGATCATGCTTTTGTAGCATTGCATTTCACCTCATGTTGGAGGTCAGTGGATCCAAATAATGACAGCTACTGCCAATAAACTTCCTCCTATTCTAAAAGCAAGTCCACTCTGTTGCACAAGGAAGTCATTACTGTATGCAACTCAGTCATGGCAAGATGCTAGTCATTTTCTTGATCATCTGAATACATATTTAGTAGGTGTTATGTGTGATAACACGAATGAAAAATTCGAGACCTGATAATCAGGTGATGGTTATATAATTTTGACCATAAAGACCACTAGATGTGCAAGATCATTCACCCCAGAAGAGGGCAGTCTGGGCTTTCAGCGAGATGCCTCTCTAACATAGGCTCTATGCCTTGTTCTGTACATCCCTGAAGTTCTTTTGAAACTGTAAATCTTAAAGATCGAAGATAGCAAAATTGTGGCCATCTTGGTAACGTCATCTTGGCAAAATCAACACTTGCAGCTGAAATTGTCACTGTGGATTATTTTATTTTTCATTTCTGCTGTATCAGTCAGAATAATGGATCTTTCCATTCATTATGTCTTCTTGTACTGAATATAATTGGGCTGTGAAATTAAAAAGACATTTCCACAGATATCCTTGTTCTGTTTCAGATCAGAAAATAGGTCTGCACTCAGATGCATGTATGCAGAAAAAATGTCAGCAGTTGTCCATAGGTGATCTCATTGAAATCTGTATTTTCAGGCGATGAGAATCTTCAAATTTTCCATAAACTCTGTATATTATTCATTGTAAAAGAGCATACAGTTTTTCGCTCATACCTGAAGGTATTTACTGAGTTTATCTCTTTGTAGCTGTCTGTCTCCACTGTAGGACCTTAATGTAGCTCTTACTCTTTTTATGTGTCTTGTTTTCTGACTATCAGTAACGTTATTTCATTCATCTAAGAAAGCTGCATTGTTCTTTACAAAAATCCAGAATGTACAATTCAAGAATTAAGTCTTTAAAATGTGGACTATAATTTTTTTCCTTCTATAATGAAAAAGTAATAGTTAAGTCACACCTTAGGTTTCTTTTAGAAACGTCTTCAGATCTCTCTTTAAAATAAATATCTGATCAAATTCACAGGCCTGATTTTTCTGAAGCAAAAGCTTAAAGACACACTTAAAGATAAGCTTGCAGTTTTATCTTTCTCTTTTGAAAGAATCAAGATATGCAGCATATTGCAATGGCTGTTAGAAAGTAGTAGAAACTTGGTCCAAAGAGCTGGTCTAAAATTCCTGGCTATGTTGCATTCCTAGATACAGTCAAAATTTATTCTGCTGCAGGAATGTTCCTTTATGTGACATTAGCAAAGGGGCTATTGGAAGTAGGTCACGTATTTGTCAACATTACTTTCTTATTCAAATGTCTCATTTATTAAGATCTGGTATGGAAACATAAAACTGTAATGTCTATGTAGACCCTTCAAACCTTGTTTCAACAATGATAAAAAGTTTTGGAGTTACTAGAAGTGAAATACAAAATGAAAGGAATGCAAGAAAAGAAGAAAATACCTTTTATTGCTAGAGGGTATTTCTAGGTGTGCTATATGTAAGCT